AAATTATGTGTGTGTAAAGAGGGGGGGGGGGGTGTGGGAGGGTTTCAAGTGGCTTGAGTCCCCAAGTTCCTGCCCTTCAGTTGCTAGTGATCGTTAGGCATTGGTTAAGCATAATTCCCAACAGCAATCAGCAAGTCACTTGATGGTGGTGATGATGATGGTGATGATAAAGATGATGATGACGATGATGATATTGTCACCTTAGTTCTTTCTTGACACAGATAGTTTAATTATGTTATGTTATTTTCTAGGTAGGGTCTGGGACTGACATATGTGCACTTGTTCCACGACAGTTGCAAAATTATCACATGAAACAACAAACATAAGTACAAAGTAATAGAACACACCCAGTTTTACAGTTCATTTCTGTGTCTCTTTAAATAGCCAAGTAGACCAATCCTGGAAAAGTGTGAAGCGTTTTGATACACTAACCAGCTGTGTCAACAGCGTTTATTCTTCTGTCATATTGGGTCCTTAGCCAGAAATAGGTCGCTGTGAATTAAATGTGTGAAGAAGGAAAAAAAAAACACTTCATATTTTACTGACGTTTTATGTTAATAACGTAGGCGACGCCTGGTTTATATATACGCCACACATTGTCAGGCACACGTTAGCTTGGGCTTACATATTAATTCAGCCTTAAGCACAGACAGGAAGATTTGGTTTTACAATACAACACGATGTAAATTTGTGTTTATAAACCTATATATTGCATGTGAAATTGAAGTGATTTTGTTTTAATTGTACTTTTCTGGTAAGCTTATTGGTGTTTTTTGTTTTTTATTATTTATAGTGTTTTATCCGACTTGACTGGACGGGTTCGCTTCTTCTTTTTTCTTAGAGCTCACCGACTTGATACTCCGGTGAAAAGTTCAGGTTATTCGTCCACTCCTAGACTTTGGTCTTGATCGAGAACTTGAGTTTTGCGAGCACATCCGTTTTACAGATCTGTCTTATATGTATGCAGGCCGTTGGTTCTTTGCCTTTCACACAGGTGGACTACAACTTTAAATAAATCACCCTTACGTGCTTGTTAGGGGAGAAGTGGCTCTATGGGGAGACGGAGGTTCTATTCTCCAAAATGGATCCGGCCAGAAAAGCAGTAACAAACTAAGGGAAGCGTTGCTACCTGGTAAAACCAGAAACACAACTAATGAATGTTAGGGGTTGGCTTTCGTCAACCAAGAAAGGGCATGCAACTGGCATTCTAATCTCGTCGCTCATCTTATATCTTGAATATGTTGTATTATACTTAAACTTATACGGTGTACATCAGCGTTTTTAAAGCGATGGGCGCCGGACAAGTTCAAGTGGGCAGCAATCATACATTTGTGCGTAATCATGCCACCGATAGGGTAGTCGTTTTTCTCTTCTAGAACTGCAGTTCGTAGGATTAACACCTCAAAAAAGAGAATAGAACAGGTAAAAATTATAGAAACTTCCTTTAATGAAATTCAACAGTTGTATTAGAGCACCTGGTAATTCCGTAGTAAAAGGGCTGAGGAACACTGTTGTACATTACATAATCTTTTATTGCTGCTTTTATGTTGTTGTTGTTGTTGTTGTTGTTGTTGTTGTTTTAATCTAAAAATTACATGTCCTTGCATAACCAATGAATCTTCACCAATATGTCCTTGCATAACCAATGCATCTTCACCCATATGTTCTTGCATAACAAATGCATCTTCACACACATGTCCTTGCATAACCAATGTATCTTCACACTTATGTCCTTGCATAACTAATGCATCTTCACCCATATGTCCTTGCATAACCAATGCATCTTCACCCATATGTCCTTGCATAACCAATGCATCTTTACCCATATGTCCTTGCATAACCAATGCATCTTCACCAATTTGTCCTTGCATAACCAATGCATCTTCACCAATATGTCCATGCATAACCAATGCATCTTCACCAATATGTCCTTGCATAACCAATGCATCTTCACCCATGTGTCCTTGCATAACCAATGCATCTTTACCCATATGTCCTTGCATAACCAATGCATCTTCACCAATATGTCCTTGCATAACCAATGCATCTTCATCAATATGTCCTTGCATAACCAATGCATCTTCACCCATATGTCCTTGCATAACCAATGCATCTTCACCCATATGTCCTTGCATAACCAATGCATCTTTACACTTATGTCCTTGCATAACCAATGCATCTTCACCAATATGTCCTTGCATAACCAATGCATCTTCACCCAAATGTCTTTGCATAACCAATGCATCTTTACCCATATGTCCTTGCATAACCAATGCATCTTTACCCATATGTCCTTGCATAACCAATGCATCTTCACCCATATGTCCTTGCATAACCAATGCATCTTCACCCATATGTCCTTGCATAACCAATGCATCTTCACACTTATGTCCTTGCATAACCAATGCATCTTCCCACTTATGTCCTGGCATAACCAATGCATCTTACCAATATGTCCTTGCATAACCAATGCATCTTCATCCATATGTCCTTGCATAACCAATGCATCTTCACCCATATGTCCTTGCATAACCTATGCATCTTCACCCATATGTCCTTGCATAACCAATGCATCTTCACCAATATGTCCTTGCATAACCAATGCATCTTTACCCATATGTCCTTGCATAACCAATGCATCTTTACCCATATGTCCTTGCATAACCAATGCATCTTATGTCTACCCATATCTTCACCAATATGTCCTTGCATAAACAATGCATCTTCACCCATATGTCCTTGCATAACCAATGCATCTTCACCCATATGTCCTTGCATAACCAATGCATCTTTACCCATATGTCCTTGCATAACCAATGCATCTTCACCCATATGTCCTTGCATAACCAATGCATCTTCACCCATATGTCTTTGCATAACCAATGCATCTTCACCCATATGTCTTTGCATAACCAATGCATCTTTACCCATATGTCCTTGCATAACCAATGCATCTTCACCAATATGTCCTTGCATAACCAATGCATCTTCCCCCATATGTCCTTGCATAACCAATGCATCTTTACCCATATGTCCTTGCATAACCAATGCATCTTCACCCATATGTCCTTGCATAACCAATGCATCTTCACCCATATGTCCTTGCACAACCAATGCATCTTCACCCATATGTCCTTGCATAACCAATGCATCTTCGACGTCTTGAATCCGTATCCGCTGGCGCTTTCCTCTACATCGTTTCCTGAACACTGTACCCTCCCATCACCGCTCTCTCCAGGCCAGTCTTCTTTTTCTTCAACGATAAAAGTGGGAGGCCAGTTTTTGGTTGGGCAGTACTGAATAGAGATTTTCACTATTCGGCCGAATACGAATAGCAAGACCAACTTTTCGGCCGACTACGAATACGAATAGTGTATTATCATCATCATCGGGTGCCATGCCGACTGGCGTGGGCCTTGCCACAATCTGCGATCTCCTGCAGCATGTATTAGTTCTTGTGCTGACACGCCTCCATGCTTTGCAACAAGACTGTCAAGAATCTTTTTCTCGTTGTCTTTCTCTACCCCTCCTTCCACAGATCTTTCCAGTGGTCACCACATGTTCCATTTTCCCTATTCTCATAACATGGCCGAAAAATAATGACTGTCTCCTTCTGATGTCTGTGATTAGTTGTCTTCGGTCTTCCGCCTCTTTCAAAACCTTTTGGTTGCCTTTTTTTTTTTCATTTGCTGTCCAAGGTATTTAAAGCTTTGTTCTTTAAAACCAAATCTCTGAGGCCTCAAGAAATTGCTTGTCCAGGACTCACAGCCATATGTTAAAACTGGATTTTGTACCAGGGAACCGGGTCGCAGTTTCCCCCTGCTACGACAGACTTACGCAACAGCAACTATTGTGTTAATGAGAGTTATTTCAGTCTTTCGCAGTGTATGCAGAAACGGATGTAAGGTAACCACTATTTGTATTCGGCCTGACCGCAAGTATTCGGCCAAATACAGAATAGTTATTAGGGCCACTATTCGGCCCCGAAGCGAATACGAATCGAATATTCGGTAAAGCCCTAGTTTTAAGAATTGCTAATTCATGACAAGGCAGATGTGGTCAATGCCCTTTGGAAACAAGCAACGGAATCAGTGGAAAAACAAGATTATTATGCCTTGGAGAGAATGAGGTACCTGGGTGTAACCAGAGGGTCTGGCCGGCTCACTACACTCAGAGGAAAGGCCAGACTGACTTATACCCAGATTGTGATCGGTACCATCAGTATTGGATGAGGTCGGAGCACGCATGGGAATGTCCTGAGTGCTGTAATGTCAGTTCTTGACTCAACTCAACTGAACCCAACTCTCCAGGCCACTATGATGTTTAAGATGGCAAGAATACCCTTAGTTTTCAGGACAGCATGCTGATTATGAACCAATTCTCCTCGATGCTTAGATCTTGTAGGATGTCGGAGTTTTCTTCTCGGTCTCTACTATTTTACAAGTGCTCGCAATTCCCTAAATGGCAATGCTGTTTCTTGCTAGGTGCTCTTTAATCCAGCCGTTTCCGCTATTTCACTAGCAGGTTAGTTGCGTATCCTTTATAGGATGTTGCAGAACCAACCCCAGCAGCCCCTGGCTGTTGTGTGGTTTCTCTAGGCAAATTTACGTCCAGCAGTTTGCCATATTTCACTAGCAATAAACCCTAAAATCGAAGCTGAGACGTGATAAGCAAAGAGTTAAAGACTGTTTCATCTTGACACATTAGACGTTAAATCTGCGAATTATTGCCCTATATTAATGCTTTAATTGGCCTTTTATATATATATATATAAATGTGTGTGTGTATCTTTAATTGTTTGGCCATCATATGTGAAGTTCGCATGTGGGTTCCGTGACCTCAATATGCTAACAAATTGAGGCGGGAGGTGAACTTTTCCTGGTAACTATTTTATGTTGTTAACGAAAAAACATATTTCGTGAAGTTATTACTCTCCAACTTGTAAAATTTTAATAACTCCTTGTTATTTTCATGTCCTAGACTTGGAGAGACGCCGTGCAATGTCTGCCGGAGCTGTCCAACTGCCGAAAATAACCGAAGGCTTCTTAGGACCACAAGCCAAGTTCCAAGCATATGGACTGAATTTGGTTTCTCACAGCCAGCCAATAATCTACATGCAAGAGGACCAGCCTGAAGTGGAGATAATCCTCGGAACCAAGTCTGAAATTAGGATTACTGTCAAATTGGTTTCATATGAGCGAAAGAAGGAGTGCACCGAGTACTGCTTAGTTCGATGTATTGGAAATAACTTTCTATTTCTCATCAGGCCACCATTGCCCGGTTTCTATAAATGTCAAATTTACGCTCTTCCCAAAGACGAAGCCGGTCCTCAGCTGTTGGGCGTGTACAACTACCTCATCCACTTTCCTGGAAATTTTGAAGACAGGCCCTTTCCAAAGCAATACCCGATGTGGAGAGATGGGTGCTATTTAGAAGAACCTCTTAGTTTGCCTAGGGGTATCAAGGATCCAATGGTGAGGTTCAAGGTTGTCGTCCCTAAAGCCAATGACGTGCAAGTAAAAGTTGGCGAAGAGTGGAATCCCTTACAGGAAACTGAACCGGACACTTTTGAGGGCTTCGTAGACTTTAATACCGGTTATGCACCAGGTTCAAAGGCCAAGTTGAATGCCAGGTTTGTTGGTAACAATTATCACACACTACTGGAATATTCTCTTTAAATGGATTTATACTGTAGGGTGACAGACTTGTGTACACATTATTTTAATTACTGAAACGACTATTAAAAAATGTTATATAAAAATGTCATTCCGCTTATAAACTACATGCAACTGGTGTCATTTCGAGGGAAGTAGTAGCTGCTGGCAATTTGGAAATTGCAATAACACACTACTGAACGTAAAAATGCACAGTAAAGCTACATGCTGGGTTGATATCAACGTCCGGTAAAGATTCATCATCATCAGGTGCCTTGCCGACTGGCGTGGGCGAACATGCCTTTCCATAATCTGCGATCTCCTGCAGCATGTATCAGTTCGTGTGCCGACATACCTCCATGCCATGCAACAAGACTGTCAAGCATCTTCTCTTGTTGTCTTCCTCTATCTCTCTTTCCACATATCTTTCCAGTGGTCACAACATGTTCTTTTTTCCCTCTTCTCATAACATGGCCGAAAAATGATGACTGTCTCCTTCTGATGTCTGTGATAAGTTGTCTTCGGGCTCCCGCCTCTTTGAAAACCTCTTGGTTGCATTTTTTGGCAGTCCAAGATATTCTAAGCATTCTTCTGTAAAACCACATCCGGTAAAGAATACACAATGAAATTAATGCTACAGACAGCTTGCAGAATTGGATGTAGCCTTGATGAAGTCATAAAGTATCTAAATAAGTATATGGATGATAGAAGTATATTGTCGTTTAATTTGTTTTAAAAGAAATCATAAAGAATATGTCTGCAAAATCACATAAATTATCTTATAAAACACTCTTAAAGGCGCTGTTGAATGAAAATTGTATTTGTGAACAAAACCCAAGGAGGGGAAGGGGGGAGGGATTGTTGAGTTGAAGCGACTGTCTACTGTAGAGCCCTAAGATGCAGCTTACTTTACTTATTATTTATATATAATACTTATAATATTATGTAAATATGTACCATGGAATATGCTGTTTTACACTGCGGTGTGTTAAGTCAATTATAACCCTGTGTTGACTGCATTGTGTTTGGAATGTCATAACCATAAGGTTGTATTCATGTAAGCTTATAAAATTGTCACCTTGCCAGGATTTTATAGCATCAGTGTGTATTAAATCAGGGTCTCCAACATTTTATCAGGTGGCGCCCCACTGCGTATGGAAAGACCCCCACGACCCAGCCGCCTTTTTTGAGTATATAGCAAGACCCTGCGACCCCGCTCTTAAGTATATGGTAAGACCTCCATGCCCTCTTGAGTATATGACAGGCCCCAAGCTCTCTTGAGTATATGACAGGCCCCAAGCCCCACGCACCCCCCCCCTTTTTTGAGTATATGGCAAGTCCCCATTATAGGAGTGGCTGTATCTCTAGGGTGGGATGGGACACACACTGAGAAACAGGATAACTGTATAACTAGATGGCCTCAACATTGGATCCACATGATCAAAGGAAGAGGGCAGGTAAACAAAACCAAAAAGGAGGCGAGAATTAGAGAATGCTGAGGGGGAGGGGGAGAAGAAGAAGAAGAAGAAGAAGAAGAAGAAGAAGAAGAAGAAGAAGAAGAAGAAGAAGAAGAAGAAGAAGAAGAAGAAGAAGAAGAAGAAGAAGAAGAAGAAGAAGAAGAAGCAGTAGAAGGAGGAGAAGAAGAAGATAATGATGATGATAATGATGATGAAAATGATCAAGCCGATGTAGTCGATGATGGTAATGATGATGATGATGACGACTCGAATTGTTGCTTCTATCGTCCCACCCAGATACCTAATAAGTAGCGAATGCCTAAACAGGAGCTGTATTTCTAAAAACAAAACAAATTAAAAAAAAAACTCTTTACATAACATGGCTAAACAATTTCAATTGTTTGGCCCTGGTACGGCTTTTTTCTTTCTTCCAGTCAGTCAATCCGTCGGGTGCCGTCTCCACAATAAAGGCTGGCTGCAGTGGATCTTCAACGCTCCTTCTCTTGTCTTGTTTGTACACTTTCTCAGACTGCCGTACGTTCATTCTTTATACCACCCTCTCACTTAAATCGTTGTCTATCTCTTGCTCTCAACTTTCCTATCCAGTATGATTTTGAAAATCCTATGTGTGTGTGTGTTTGTGTGTGTGTGTTTTACTGTAAGATTTTTAAAAACGATTAAAACACAGAGACAGTTTATCACAAACATCAGAAAGAGAAGTCATTGTTAGAGAAAAGCACTGCAAAATGAATGATATCCTTCCACTTGAACCGCTGTTTATTTCGAAGTCGCTTTTCTTCAATCTTTCCTTTCAGTATGGTTTCCATAAAAGTGTTGTTTTTAATGTTGCCAAAATATTTCGTTTGTCTGTGATTTTATCTCAACTCTCTTTTCAGTCACAGTCACACATATGTCTTTAATTGTTTTTGTTTCCATGAGATACGATCCATTTTTGCGAATATTCTAATTGTCGGAGCCTCAAGTCGACTCTCTCTAATATGGTGGTGAAATGGCGGCCGTTGAGTCATAGTATTGAATGCGGGCTGAGGTTGCGAACCCCAAACATACAATTATTTTCGTTGCTTCTTCATAACTTCAGCGAATATGTTTCCTGATGGTCTTAGGTGAGCCCTGTGAAAATGTCGTCGGACCCCAAACAAGAGGATCGCGACCCATACGCTGAGAACCGCTGCTCTAATTGTTTACTGCCCAGATGTCTGCGCCATTTTCTGTCGCATTCACAAACAGTTAAATGATAGAACGATCAATAAAACCCCAAAACACAAATGATGAAGCACTTGTTAACTTCTTTCTCTCATTATGAAACCAGTCATGTTGTCCGACGTACGTGAACAACGTGTATGTAATCAGTTCAGGTATTAAGGTTTACTTGACTTAAGGCAGGGAAGAAGGGATTGGGGTGGTGGGGGGGGGGAGAGAGAGAGAGATTAGATGTGTTCTTTACGCACACAAACCGCCCTTGTCCTACTACAAATGAGACGCCCGTTGTTAGCAGAGAATAAAGGTCTACTGTTTATTTAATTACACGTGTAGGCGCGTGTTTTGCAAACAATGGGAACCGAAAGCAGGTTTTGAATAAGACCTCCTTGAGCTTTTTAATGACGTCATGGAATACATTTAGAAGGCTTATTCCAAAGGAGGCTGTGGTTTTGAAGATACTGTAAAACAATGCAACTGCTCATGTTTTGGATGTATAGTTTCTCTAGTTGTCCTCTACAAACGTCTGTATTTGGTTCAGCATAACATAGAATGTTGCAAGTAAAAATATACTTTTAAGTGATTGGCTGGATTCGTTAGATAAGAATGGACTGGGTCACTAAACACTTTGAGAATGACCGGCCTAACATTCATCTGTGTGCCGGCATATTGGTGTTCGAGGCAACGAGCGTGCATATTATACTGCAGACACTGTGGTTGCTATGGCTGCTCGACAGAAGCGACATTATCAGTGCCATGCGATGGACGCATAGCGAAGACGAATACAGCAAATTGCCTGACTCTGTATCCCTGTCTAGACTGATGGACATAGGGGATGCAACCTGGAGCTGCAATAAATGAATATTTTACCAAGGGGACAATCGTTTTACGCTTGGGGAGTTTTTGAAGAGGAGATCGTAGCACCCATGGACCTGTCCGGAGTGCTGTGAAGATAATCTTCACTAATCACTAAATCACTAGAAGATAGCTAAGCTAAACTCTTGACGAGGCAAATGGTGATTACAGTTTATACTCTTCTGAGTCTTACTTGCTGAGGTTCTTCGGGCCTCGAGACATGTTGTCCGCCTCGTAGAGGACCGGTTCAATCCCGGGTTTTTTTTTTTTCACGTAGACTTGGATGTCTAGGACCCCCCGCCCCCCCCGTTTTCTGGGTAGTGAGATCGGATGCCCGTGTGCATTGTTGCGCACGTAAAACAATCCCTTTGCAGTTGGAAATCGAAAAGAGTAGTAGCCTGGCGGCGTTGCCCGGGCAGAATTTTTGAGTTTACAATCTACCCAAAGTATTTCAGGATCCTCGCCGGTGCTACAGCGCCTGTGCACTGTGCTGAGCTTCTTTGGACTCATAGACTTGAGTTAGAAGAAGAACGGAGCACTTATGGGTTACTACCCGTGTGCCATGATGCTGATCCGTTGTTCAAAACCTCAAACCTTAAACTTGCTGAATACTTACAGACCAATGTGCAATCGACTCATTATCACACCCACTTTATTGTTAACAGACTTCCCACAAAATTTTTCTAGTGTCCATCCATAAGCTGAGTAGACATGGAACCCAAGATATTTTTTTTTAATCCCTTGACTCGATAGGTATTTGAATGCATGACGTCCCGTTGTGAGTTTCATTATCCCACTTCAGGATGGGAAGTGGGCTTACTGCCCCCCTAAGAAGCAGCAAAAGTTGAATAATTAGAAGTCGGAGTGTATATTCCTGACAGGCTAGGAACCACGAGTCTGCTTACAAATAAGCTTGATCTGTAAAACGGATAAGCACGCAAAACTCAATTCTGGAACAAGTCTAAAAAGTGGACGCAACAAGAACTTTCTGCCAAGCTTACAGTTGGTGAACGCAATGATGAAGAAGAACATATGACAAAAGCTAGAGAGCACTGAAAACGGTCACCCCGTCCACGCACACAAATACCTGGTACATGTGATGGTCTAGGACTTCGCACCTGCCCCCTTCCCGGAATTAACTAGCAACTGCTGGGAATTTTCTTCTTCTTCTTCCTTTTCTTCTTCTTCTTCTTCTTCTTCTTCTTCTTCTTCTTCTTCTTCTTCTTCTTCTTCTTCTTCTTCTTCTTCTTCTTCTTGCTTCTTCTTTCTTCTTCTTCTTCTCTTCTTCTTCTTCTTCTTTCTTTCTTCTTCTTCTTCTTCTTCTTCTTTTTCTTCTTCTCCTTTTTCTCTTCTTCTTCTTCTTCTTCTTTTTTTTTCTTCTTCTTCTTCTTCTTCATCTTCCTTCTTCTTTTTCTTTCTTCTTCTTATTCTTCTTCTTCTTCTTCTTTCTCGTTCTTCGGCTTCCTGAACTTCCGCCTTCTTCTCTTCTTCTTC